TTGGAGGACTGTTTGGTCTATGGTTTGGCACTAATGGCAAAGACTTCATCATTTGGTTGACGAAGAAATTGATTTCATTGTGGATTTGGTTTAATACGAGTTTTTATCAATATTTGTTTAATAATAATAAAGTACATGTAATCACAACTTCACATATCAATAGATTTTAAGAATTTAACTTTTGAAACACTATATCAATGAATGTTTGTCTATTTTCCCGTTTCTACTATTTTGTGAACAATTTTGAACAACATGTATACGATTAGCACATATTGTACTCAATAACCGACTGAAGGGTAAACTGAGAAATAGTCAAATTACCGGTTATTATGAGTTTCTCACGATTGCTATCATTGAAATGGTTTATGTTTTTTGTTGTTTATTTTCAGGGCAATAGACATAAAGATAATGACTTGTTTTACAATTTGAATCAAATCAATACACATTTTAATTCATGTGATTTTCATATTAAACATATTTTAGTCCAACAATTGGTGGTAAGCTATTCTCATAATAAATATAAGACATTCAATGTGTTCGCTATTAATAAGAGATTTTTGATTAATTTTGTGGGTTCTGTCACTACATTCACTGTTTGTTAATACAATTAATGCAAACAAATATATAATTATATGATTTAAACCTTTGTTATAATTAACTTTCAATATGATTTAAAATAAATATTACCCAGTTAAAATGGTTGAATTGAAGTGAATAGAAGAAATATAATGTCTTTTGACTTCCATTAATAATTTAATTCAATTCAAAATAAAATATTTATATTGTACGTCCACTTTGCATTATGTTATTGTATGAAATATTGAAATTCATTTAATTTGATTTATTATTTACTAGTATATTCTATACATGTAATTATTTACCGACAATATAATTTTATCAAAGTTTATAAATTATGTTAAAGTTTTGAAAAAATATTTTATACATACATAATATAATTTCATATAATTAATTAGAAAAATTAATCAATTTCACGCATTATTATAAACTTTGACATTTAATCAAACATTAAATTCATAACATAATTAAGAAATACAAATATTTCGATTAAATATTTATATGAGTTTATGATTTTAGATTTCTGATCAAAGTTTTTCGTGGAAATATTTTGTGAAAAACATAATCATTTTGTTGAATAAGTTTTAATGTGGGATCAAATGTGGGATCAGTTTGGAAGCAATTCTTATGAATAGACCATAAGTTATATTCCGATAATACTTCACTACAAGTGGGTCTAGTTTTATAAATTGCAACACACATTGAATCTAAGATTAGATCCAATTTAATGAATTTGTCGTATATTTCATATTCCGAATAAATACTCAACTCCGGGGAACTGTAATCAAGAATGAATTATTAATGAATTATGTCAATAAACAAAACATCAAAATAGTCACTTAATAGCATTCAAATTAAAAAATTTGTGTGCAATGACTGCCAGGCTATAAATATCCGCTTTTGGTGTATATTTAGTCAGCAATTTAACTTCCGGTGCCATGTATTGAAGTGTTCCCACCCATGAGGTATGATTTCCATAGTAACTGGAATGATATGACGCCAACCCAAAGTCGCCTAACTTGATAAACCTCCCGTTCCTAACCTGTTGTGCAATCAATATATTATCGGGTTTGAGGTCCCGATGGATGATCGGCTTAACTAATCCATGTAAATATTGGACGCATTCTAAGATCTCTTTGAATATATGACACGAAATGTAAAACTCGATTGCATTTATAGGTTCTCCCGGTTGTCGACCAAATACTTGTGGTTTATGTTTAAGAATATCCTGTAGACTATCGGAACATAACTCCATACAAATGTAATACATATTTTCATCGTTCCATTGGTCGATATATTGGACACAATATTCTGACCTAACTTTTATCAATTTTTGCATTTCTTGCATACATTCCCGTAAGTTGTCGACACCTGTAGTTATTTGTGATAATTATTAATAATTCAAAATTTTGCAAAATATGTCTGCAAATTGTGATCATTTACAAATACAGTATATTACATTTTAATGTTGTAATAGTTAGACTAAATCACTGAGCCTGAACCTATATCTTATTCGTGAATGAACCTTACATGGAAGAGGCCATTAACTCAGTATATAGCAAATAATTAATGTGGACTATGTATTGGTGACTCCTCCCCACTATATATTTGTGAACGGATACCATATAACGTTCATGTACGGATAAGATATAGGTTCAGGCTCAGTGTACTAAATATATCTAAATATAAACAAGTTACTTTCATATCATAGTTTCTTAACCGCATATTGGTTTCCATTATATTTTCGTTTAACAGCAAATACTTGACCAAAAGCTCCCGAACCTAATGGATGCAACTCTTCATATAAACGCTTGTATTGACTCACTTCGGAAACAACTATAAAACAAATTTAAAAAATTCATTCATTCATTTTTCTTAATTTTAAAACCTCAATCAAAAGTACGTACTCCGAGGGGAGGGGAGAAGGAGGCTATTGACTAACTCATTTCTGATCATGAATATTAATAACTGACTACGTACTTTATGAATGACATTTAAAATCAATTTATACCATTGTTTGATCCAATACCAATTCCCTCGTATTTTGAATTAAAATATTCAATGAAAAACTTGTAATCACTTTGGTGAATGAGATTTAGAGTGGAATCAAATGTGGGACTAGTTTTGAGACAATTCTTATGAATAGACCATAAGTTATATTCCGATAATACTTGTGAACACTCGGGTCTATCTGGCCAGTGAGGGCCGAATCTGTGCGGGTGATCCCAGTTATAGTAAGACATTGAATGCAATACTTGTGTCAATTTAATGACACATTTATCGACAACTTCATAGTCTGAATACTTTTCTAAGCTAAGGAATATATTCAAATTAATAAAAATCTTAATTAAATAATTAAAGAATATACAAAACTTAGACACATATTTTACATGGATTTGTAAAAACCTTAAAATGAACTTTATAATTGATAATATAAATAATGTATAATAATTCTCATTGTTTTATTAATTTCAAACAAAAACGTAAATTTTATAAATTAACAATTAAATAAATTTTGACCTAAATCACGGTACAAATCTATGAGGCGCAACTGAGAGCCTTATGTATAATTCATATGATGAAATAGAGGTATTCAATCAGTATGCAATAAGTAATATAATTGAACTGGTAGTTGAGGTGAAAATATTTGTCAATTTTGTGGCATACCCTTAAACGCCACCCGCCACGTAGCGGGTGGCGGGGGGCGAGTGGCGTTTAAGTATGTTTGTCCGCCACCAGTGGCGGCCCTAATAACCCGCCACCATACCCGTGGCGGCCCTGTTAGCCCCCCACTGTACCCGTGGCGGCCCTGATAAGTATTTTAGGAATTTTTTATTATCATTATAATTCTTATTGATTACAATTATAGATATGTAAACTCATGTAAAATTTTGTTTTAAAAATTAAATTCTTAAAAATTTAATTTAATGTTTATTAAAGATTCCTGAAATAGGGCCGCCACCCGCCACGTGGCGGGTGGCGTTTAAGGATGTCCCCTCCTGACCTGTCTCAATTTTGGCAATTTGTTCTCCCGGGCCCTGAAAATAGGTGGCAGCCCTAATTATAGCATTAATAACTTTTCATATTTTGCAGAATGTTTATATTAAATCTTAGTGCATTAAATGTGTATTTATATTTATATAATTATCAAAAATTATATATTAATTATTATCTTAAATAAATTTTCAAAATTAAATGTAAGCAAAATTAAATAGCCACACATCTATTAAATGTTTTAGTAAAAGTATAAATGCTTAATATCAATGACATTCAGTATTTTAAAATATCTTTTATATCTTTTAATCTTTTAATCTTTTATATCTTTTATATCTTTTATATCTTATGTTAAATATTAAGTAATTTTTATTATTAAAATGACTCATTAAGTTTTGTTAATAACTAGTTTATTAGTAATGAAATTACTTAGAGACTATTTAAATATAATTAAAAACATTATTATAATTAAGTAGCATTAGTATAAATTATAATTTTAAAAATATTTTCTAAAATGGCAACAAATGTGGACCAAATGTCAAATAAATTTAAACTAATACTTACAATTACAATATGCACCATATATTTCGTATCCGTAAGTTAAATATATATATTTTTTATAACATAGTTTCAAGATAACTTACAAACAAATTAAATTGTCAACATTATTTATTATATTTTAAATCATAAAATATTTTTTTAAAGGTTTTGCCCATGATGATAACCGGTATAACATTGACCACTTTACAAAATGTTTTTAAAGCATCCCTGGCCGATATATCATACGCCAGTGACATGTTAAACATTGGCAGGTGTTTGGGAGCATTTGGTATGTGCTTGCTGCAAATATTGCATAAAATAATATATAATTAATCAAAATCATTAATTAATATTTCATTATAATTATAATTTTCTACAAGCATTTGGTAATAGAAATATTAATAAACCACTCGTATGTATGGCGTGCTTAATATTGGTGGGCGTTATGACCGGTATGACACCCGACGTGAAATATTTAAGTGTATTGTTTGTGATAAATTTAATAAATGGGGTCGGTTTAAGTGGCATCCATGTGCTATTCTACGTATGGGTAATGGAGTTATGGGGCCAGGGTGCCGGACCATATATACAAACGTTACAATCTCAAATATTTTTAGCCGGTATATTAAGCTCGAGTATAGTTGAACAATTTTTAAGCGTTGACAAAATATGGATCCCGTATATGTTTATCGGAGTGGCAATCGTAATTTGTGGTATTGCCTTGGGGTTAATTTATATGCTCAACCCAATTATAAATATCAAAAACGTTACTGGTGATCAACAAGCTGAAAATAGAAATTTGAAAAATTTCATCAACAACGCGCGTGCGCAAATATTTCCAACAAAAATTACGTTCACCATGATAATCATGTGCGCGTGTTTAGCATGTCTATTTTATGGCACGACCAATACGATGACCATGTACATATAGACATTCGCTCAAAATAGTAATCTAGGTTTAAGCCCGTCGAAAGCTAGTTATTTGGTAATGGTGGCAAACTGTGGGTTCGGTGGGGGCGCCATCCTATCAATATTAATCGCTAAGCGAATACCGGCGCCGATAGTCATATACACGGGACTTACGATCGCCGCGATAGCCGTAATCGTAAGCATAGTTTTCGTGGACTATTCGGAGTACGTGTTGTGGGTATCGGTGGCGGTGTATGGGGTCGGTGTCGGACCCTTCACCGGACCCGTGTATCAGTTACTGGCTCAGATTACCCAGGTTACCAATATGATCGGGGTGATTATGACGTTTAGTCGCAATTTAATGGGTATATTAGTGCCGATCATTTTGGGTAAAACAATGGAAACGAATGTATTTTCGCTGTTTTATATGGATTTGGCACTAATTGGCGTTTCCCTGATACTTACGATTGTTATACATATAGGTGTTAATAGAATTAATAATAAATAAAAGTGAACTTGATTATACTTATTTTTATAACATTTAAATTTTTACTTTTTAATAATGTAAAAACATAATTTAAAATAAATAATAAAAATTATATGAAATCAATTATTATTCTAATTATTATATTATGATTATTATGTGATAATTAAATTAAATTTAATTTAATTTAACATGCGGTATAAAATTGTCATATCCTTTAAAAAGTAAATCTAAAAAATTACAGTTTGACAAGTATAATAATAAATACTACATATAAATATCATTAACGTGTTCAATATAACCCATTAATTATGATATGACAGTACGGGCTGTAAACATAAAAACAGATTGCAAAAATCAATGGACGTGTATTCATTTGTGTATTCAAAAATAAACATACCTTGCTAAAACTAACGCTAATATTCTGTGTATTCAGAGACTGCATTCAAAAAGTTTATTTCAAATAAATCTTAGAAATTACTTCAAGTTTTGGTCAAAAGTTTTAATTTGAAAAATAGTTAAATATATCGTGCGATTAAAATGAAAAGTTTCGTGATTATGTTTCGTATGATTTTATTGCCGTCCCAGTGGTCGAAAATATAACCGCCGACCCTATACTTAACGCCAATACTATTATCGTCGGGATCTATGTTAAGGTCAGTGATGGCAGCGATACGTCTGGT